AGTAGTAGTAGTAGTAGTACTACGTAGTAATAATAATAGTAGTAGTAGTGGTAGTGGTGCGGTATTGGTAGTGGTGCAGGACTATGCATCCCAGCGATTCTGAGCCGCGCCCCCTTGAGCTGCCAGGGCACAAGTCGTGACTAAGGAAGGCTCCCGAAACCCTGGTAACAAGCCAGCAGCCAGAGGCGACCTGAACAACACGGCTGCAGCCGATCCTAAGATCTGACGCAGTCCTTGTACTTGTTCACGAAGAGCATCAGCTGCTGGCGACACACTGCCAAGTCCTCGAGCAGTGCCCACAAGCCCTGAAAACTCTCTGCAAAACCGCGTCACAAACCTGAAGCCGAATTGTAGTCAGCAGGCCAGTATGCAATGGTACAGCTTGTTGCGAAGCCATAAACTCAGAGGCCCAATTTATTCCAAAGCCTTCAAACTCGACACTCAAGCTGGCGAGCCTCTCCTTGGAAAATGACCAGATGGAACACAAGATCGCAATCAAGACTGTTTGTACCCCCTGGAAACAGCCCGAAAACGCAGACCTCCGGCGTGAAGCCATAGGGGATGTTCCAGCCGATGGGCCCAAACTTTCGGCGGTCCTGGAAGCTGGGTCTGTCTATCATCAGGATGCAGCCTTGCGGAGCTTGGGTTGAAGCGGCTGCAGGCTTCGAGTTTGATTGGGCGGTTTGCTGGCACGAGCGGGCTTCAATGTCCAATCATGATGCCAAAGGGAATTCCGTACGTAGACCCCAGTCAAGAGCAGTCCTGGACTACCGCGTGGAAGAAGCAAAAGCCGAACAATAGTGTCCTGAAGACCTGGGAGTGACGGCTGCCAGCTGCTGGGCACTTCGAGTGCTTTGAGATGCAGGGTGTGCTTTGAGATTCAAGCCTTCCAACTGATGTTCGGGCATACTTCAGGGCAGACTGCCGGAAGCTTAGTCGCATCATCATAGAGCTGCGAATTCGTTGGACCGCCCCAAGCGCACGAACATGATCGTCCGTTGAAGACCACACTTAGCAGGATGCCGGAGTCTCAGCGGAAAGATCAGTCTACTGCTATGCATGGATCAAAGCCACTTCCCAGCAGTACAAAAAGGTTGGTGTGACTCAAATGATGCTGAATTTGCACGGTTTGGCAATGCGACCATAACTGTTGAAGCTGAAATTCTATCACGATCGTTATGGGCCATCATGGCGACACGAGGATCCTGGATCTTGCCGCCGTCTGCACATCTCTTGGCTAGTTTGCTGAGGAGTGATCAAGCTTTCAGCAACGTGGTGATCATTTACAATGGAGGGTTGCTCCTGGTTATACAAGGCGTAGAATTGGGTTGCCCCGGGCAATACAGGCTTCTTGGCTCTGCAGGCACTTAATAACTTGCTGTCATGAAAGACTCTACCTGACCTCCATCATGGCAACGGAATCGTTTCTCTTCTCTTGAGTGCCAAAAAAGCGAGCTCGTTTGCAAAAAAACACGTGCGCAGCTATACAGGTGTGTACAACCCATGCCAACAAGGTAATGACAGACACGTGCAGTCATCTACAGACTTTCTGAGATTCTAGGTGCTGAAACCTTCGTAACCCGAGGCCGGAATTATCAGGGCCCACGCGCCGGGCTTGTCCGACTCCTCGAAAAGCCGATCTGTGACCGAGCTGTACGAGCGCAGCCTCGAGTCACTAAGGATGTTTGCAGCCTCATGGGTGCTTGTATCGACTTCGGGGTATTGAAAAAACGGCACCGTCGAGTGAGTCGAGTGCTTGCTTTTGAGTTTTCCTTTTCTCATGCAGGCAAACCACCTATAGGACCTATAGGCCTTGTGTTCACTCTTCATGTCGTCAATGCGTAGCTATCAGCCGACGATGTGGTTGTTAGGTTTGGCAGCTACCCAAACGAGGTCGAAGTGAAGAAACATCACACCCAATCCAGTGACGTGCGGTCTTGGGCTTTCAGGCTTTGCCCCGTGCAATTGGTTCCTCGTCTTGGCCGCAAAGAAGGACACAAGAGGGTGTACGCTTTGCAATATGCTTCATCGCCACAGAGAGTTTGAGGGTTGGGGGGTGAGTTATGCCGTCGATAAACCTGGATTGCCGAGACGACTCCAGCCTTCAATTGGTGAAGCTTCTTTCCTCATGTCAATGCGTTCCAAACCCACATGTCTTTACTGCCATGGACGATCTTAATGTCAGTTGTCTGCCACCACAAGATGCAAATAGAAACGAGCAGAAATCAAACGCAAGGATGCATATGTCGTCGCGCGACGACTTTGCTGAAGTTGTTCTTGATGGCGTCTCAGCAATGATGCAGACAGCGTTAGTGATGAACTCAGGTAAGGACCGTAAGGACAGAGTCGGACAGGAAATTGAGGCTTCCCAGGTCAAGGCATGAGAGAGTGTCGAGTCCTAGGGCCCGGGTCAGCCGGCGAGTCGGCCCTCAAGACGATTTTGGGCCATCGGTTGCAATAGATTTGTATGCTTTCTTACTCGACTCGCATGGACCGTTTGCCGGTCAGGCCCAAACGTGTCCCGACTCAGTATGCGTCGCCGCGCGACTCGCAAAGCCACAACTCAAAACGACAGTTCACGGCCTGAACTGCACTCTGATGATTACTCCACATCATAAATATGATGATTAATCACCCAACCTACCCGAGCTGCTACTGAGGGTTGAACAGATTGGCACGAAGTCCAGACGGAGGCTCGTTGGTCATCTTGATGCCATTCTGCAGAACCTTCGGCATTATTCAAGGTCCGGCTGCGCGCTTGGTCTTTATGTACTTCTTATGTTCCAATGCTTGCTCTCTCTCACCAGTACAATGTTCAGTCTTCGCCCAGGTAATAATTATGCAACTTTTCCTGTTTTTAACATGAGTGCCACCTTGCCTTAAGCCTTAGATATTTCTTGCTGTTTGCTGGGTCAAGTTGAACAAAATCTATTTTGCAACCATCAAATCCGAATGCATTGCCCAAAGCTATGACCTCGAACAATACCTCTTACCTGTATCCCCACAACACAACATGTTGCATTCTGTCCTGTGTCTGCCATTCTTCGGACTAACGTGTTGCCTGTGCTCGATCGAAAGGGTGCCCACTGTTTATGCGACCGAGTTTCCGCTAATCGCCCTCCTAGTCTTGTCAAAAGAACCCACCAAAAAGAACAACGCTCACATATGTTGAGCAACAAAGTGAAATGGTTGGACCGCGCAATAACCCCGTTAGCAACCCAAAGCTAGACATTGGCGGCTACACCCGACAAGGCTGTGTGATTGGCGTTGATACGAACGGCCCGTTGAACACTTTTCCAAATCCAACGGCCCCAGAGCACGAAGAAGGCGCCCCGAACCAAATGTCATGTACAACTACGTGCCTGAGATTTTTGGTCTGGCGTATACTGTCACAAAAAGTTGATTTTTGTTTCCCTGTCCAAAACAATCCTTTTCCTTGGAAAAAAATTGGTCTTTCGGTCCAAAATCATCGTTTTTCTAGGAAAAGTTGGTATTTCATTTCAAAACCAAGGTCTTCCTAGCAACTGGTGCGTATTTCATTTGTTGTTTGCGCACGTTACGAATGAGGTTCCGGTGTCGTTACTACGGGGATTGAACTCCGCTCAGCATTACTAACATTATTCGGATCATTTTGGGGGTGAGTGGAGAACTAGCATTGCAGGTTCAACACAGACCAGGATGCAGGATATCAGGGTTATCACAGCTACCGGTACGATTTCTTTTAGCTGACCAAGGTTGTAAACTCAATAAGAAAAACATCGGGGTCAGATTATGGGTGGTCCTAAACCCTAAACCCTAAACCCTACCATGGATGGCGTGAGGGCTGGTGTCAGGGCGAGTATGATTGTCACCACTGACATAACATAAGGGCGAATGGCAAGGATGGGGCTTGGGTTGATGTTGTTTTAAATCAGGAGACAGCTAACGATCCTCGTCATTATGTTGGTATCTAGTACAGGTTTAACCTTAGGGCCAGCATGTTTATACACACACACACACATAGATGTACATGCACGCATACGGGCAAGCCCGACAACTAGTCCGACATGATCATACACTACAGTGAGAAGGGGGTGCCATGTTACAATCTGCTGAGGTAAACAAACAAATCTGGTATCATCCCTACAAATCATTTGGGGAACGCCCGGGAGAAGACAGCAAGGATCGTGGTTCTTTATTATTAGCATGAATACGACGGCTGTTGTTGAAGTTCATGCTTGGGCAGTATTTGGCTTACCTGTTTTAATTTTAACAGTAACTAACAAGTACTGGGGATGCCATGACTTCAGCTTCGGGGACTTGAATGCTCATGCTAGGGATCCCACAACTACATCTGGATTGACTAACCTGTTGATGAGGCCAACGGTCGGGGATTCTCTTACGGCCAGTATCAGGGTTACGGTTGAAGGAAGTATCCGGTACAGTACGAAGGTTACTTGTACCAATGGGAACAGCTTACGGGTAACATTGAGTCTGCGAGTAAGGTCCATCTTGGAGTCAGATCCAATCTTGGAGTTGCCAGAGGGACTGCAATATCTTTACTTTCGGGGGGCCAGCCAGGCTGGGCTGATGTATTTTGTTACATTATCCTTCCGGTCGATATGAGAGTGAATATGGGGTTACTAGTAGTCGACATAGCATTGCAATCCATCCGAGCTAAAACGTGAATCTACAGGGCATCTTTTTTGGGTCAACATGAAATAGAAGACTACTGTCACTGTTGGGGCCAATGTAAAGTTTAATGGCAGGGTTTGAGACTACAGTGAAGGCTACCTTGGGAGTTAATATTCGGGCCCATATTGAGCTTCGGGTATTCAGACAGACATGACTTTCATCCCTGGAGAAATCATCTATCAGAGTGTCCGCGTGAAGGGTCGCCAGAATTGAGAATGAAGGCGGCCGCCGATATACATATGCTGTCCCCTGCGGAACTTCAAAACCCAACGCAAAACCCAACGTTAAGCCTGGATCATACACCAGAAGCCTACGCCTAGGAGGATTGGTGGCGCTATCGCGGCACCGCGCGGTAGTTCTTCGAGGGGGGCTTATAGCATATATATATATATATATGTATATATATATATGTATACATATATATATATATATCTTTTTTATCTACACACACGCATCGACACATGCACCAGTATAATGCATACATACATACATGCATAGTCAGTGTATTTGAGCCACCACCAGCATCAAGATCACCACAACGACAGCAATGACGAGTTACAGTAGAGCGTTTAGGGACAGTTTTGGGAGAATCGCTTCATTTTGGGAGAATCGCTTCAGCCCCTCAAGCGAAGCCAAGGCCTGTGATCCCAAGATTGAGGACTTGGTTTCGGGACTGCTGCGGGAATCGGGGCAGCTTCCGTGATGTGACAATGCCGGCAAGAAAAAAAATGAGCGACAAAAACTTCGTCATTGTGAGTGGCCACATGTCTTGAATGAAGCAGCCTTTTGTAACCTTGCAAACACATACCTACTCCCTATGCTCATACGCATTCAGCCATGCCTGCACAGGGAAGGTCTTCGCCGGCATGGAGGTGAGCCAAAGCCGGAAGTTGTTCGACATCGTCTCCTGAAGCTAGAAGGGGAGGGAACTGCTAAGAGTCAACGGATTAAGCTACATCTAATATATATATATATATATATATATGTATATGCCTGTCTAGGTCTAGGTTCAGGGAAGCAGATGTGTGACGGCAAAACTCCGCGTGAACAGTTGCAGACCATGGGAAGAGCTGAGAGTTTGCAAAGACGCTGTATCCATGCTTCTGTAAGAGGATTCCTGCATCCTCAAACTTATGTCATCCACCTAAATCACGAAAGTCTAGCCCAAGAGCCCGATTGCATGCTCTTGCAAAGCTCGCAGTGTCTCCTGTCTCTGTTTGTCATTCTCTCTCCCTCTCTCTCTCTCTCTGTCTCTCTCTCTCTCTCTCTCTCTCTCTCTCTTCTTCCACTCAGCCAAGAGAACGGAGTTCCCCCCGACCCTCGCGCGCCCACGCGCCCTGGATGTCCGGCTCTCAAAGGTCGGCAACACGATGAGGCGGAGGCTCGTTCCAGCAAAACCCCATTATCAATATTTCTCTCTCTCTCTCTCTGTCTCTCTCTCTCCCTCTCTCTCTCCTGGGCATGGGGGACGGTCAAATCCCCCGGGCAACATGCCCACCCAACGTCTTAGTGAAAGTCGAGCATAAATCACCTGTAGTCTAAAGCCGTAAAGGATACGATAACAGACAAGGTGATTGTATACTCTCCAGAACACATGCATTCGTGCAAATAGGTTGATTTGATTCCCCCGATGCCTTTATCATGACATAGAGGTCCCCCGGAATACTGAACAAAGTGAGATGTCAAAGGTTTGAAGGAATCAAGACCTGTTGGCACAGGCATTTCCCCCACCGCTCTCGCTCTCGCTCTCGCTCTCGCTCTCGCTCTCGCTCTCGCTCTCGCTCTCTCTCTCTCTCTCTCTCTCTCTCTGTTTCAATTCAAAGCATTAGGACAAGGCAGAAACGTTCCCAAAACAAAGCACCAATGAGTGCCGCCCTGCGCCCACACTGCAATGGTTGCTGTCCGGATCGAGCTGCTCCACCTGCGGGCCACTGCAAGTCAATGCCGTTTCGGGTTTAGGTGTGGCATGGGCCACTCGTCGAAAGGAGCTTGGAACTGTAAGGCCGCAGCAATGGCTTCCAGCGTTGACATCCAGGACCTGGGTCCGGAAGGTGTTCAGCAACGTCATGCAGAGCATGTGGAAAAAGGTTTCTGATCCGGAGCCGAGCGCTCTCGCTGGCAGTCATAAGCTAAACGCGAAGTCCAAAAGCCTGAATCCTCAAGCCTACAGACGGATGCTTGAGATCCGAAATCAAGAAACCTCGGGCAAAACTTGCAAGCAGCATGGGAGTCCAGGACTGAGAGTGCTGCTGCATCAGGTGACAGTTGGAAAGCAGCACCCAGCCTGATATCGGAAAAATATTCTGGCCCACTGGGTTTCTTCTGCTGCTGCATGCACAAGACACGTGCTATGACATTGTCACGCTTCCGCCGTGAGCAGGCCCCCAGCCCCTCAACCAATCAGACCGATTGGCTTCGAATGAATACCAGCCAGCAAGCAACAAGCATCATGACACCTTGCAGTCAGCCCATCAGCAGCGGCAGCAGGAGCAGGAGCAGGAGCAGGAGCAACATCTCCTCCTCCACCTCCCTCCACCTCCCTCCTCCTCCTCCTCCTCCTGACGTTGCTGCTTCTCCTCAAACAGATATCAGATACATAGAGCGTACTGTCGCTGGTCAGATGCCCTAGAACTGACCTTCAAGCCGGAAAGGATCCTCCATCCGTCCGAAGGCCCATGCGAAGCCCAGGCTCGGCCCGGCCTCCGCTCTGCCTCGCCGAGTCGATCATTCGCTGGGCTTTGGGCCCTTGCCCCTGCCTGGTAGGATCCAAGGTCCCCTCTTCTGCCATCTTCTGCCATCTTCTCTTCTCTCTGTGACTCTCTCGGGAGGTCCACTGGCAACGCAAGCGCTCCCCCACATCACTGCGTGTCTGTGAGTTTAGAAGCACACCCCAACGAGATCGGCTCGAACTTCTTCGACATTCCCAACCTCAGAAGCGAGCACACGTGCTCTGGAGAACGGGTCGCCAGGGCAAACGAGAGCATCCAAAAAGTCTAGGGTTGAACGTTTTCGAGCTTGTGGAAATAAGTGCAGTCACAGGCACGTCCAACGTACATTCCTCTGTTAAAGAGCTGTAACTTAATGCTCTGCACGATACAATCAATCACCTGGCAGCCAGAAGAGAAAGCCATGCACATCTTGCAGCCCGGAAACTGCTCGGCGAAGCGGATCACATCGGCCACGGGGTCGGTGCCCGGGCTGAGGATGAAAATCAGGGGCGTCGTGCTCACCTAAGGCGCAAAGAAGCTTTGGTGGAGCTAAAGTACTCTCTGTTTAAAGCTGCCGCTCAGTGAGTACATGGGAAGCGAGGGTGAAATTGGAGTGTTGACTGAGATGAGTCGTTCGGCTGTTCTTCTGGGACTTGGCTCGCTTGGACGTTCGAGAGCAGAAGAACATAAAAGCACGAAGAGGAGCCTTCTTTGGTAAAGAGCTGCAGCCTTTAAGATCCAAAATACAAGCAAGAAAGTTGAACATCTCGGGTAAGAATACAGAGAATCATCCTTGATGCATGTTCCAACGAAGCCCTCAAAATTGCCGTGATTGTAAGAGACGGGTGCTCTCTGCCTTCGACCTTACATCTCAGGATCCGAACTCAGAATCTGGGCTTGGGGATCAAGCTAACAGCTAAAGTCAAAGCAGTGAACCTGGCTTAAGACTCACTGTGCAATCCAGGTGCACTCCTTGATGCTCTAGGTGATTTCTTAGCAAGCACTTGAAACCGCAAACGGTTCAGTCTCAGTTATAGCTAAGACGAAACCTCACCGGCAGGGCCCCATGCAGAGTCGGCGTAGGACTTCGCGATGTCAAAGGTTGGGGGATCCACGAATTTGGACCCAATCTCCTGGCGCAGATATTCACTCGAAGCAGACCGCTACAGAAGCATGGCACTGGCAACATCAAAGTGGAATGAACACCTTGCTCGACGTCAACTCGGCCATCACCACCGACTGATCAAACAAGAGCCAGTCCCAGTGGGTCCCAGTGCTGAACGGGCTAGCGTGGCCTTGCTGATGAACTCGATCACAGCATTCTTCAGGCAATCGATTCGGAAGCTGCGGATGAAGCCTGGCAGCCCAACTACAAGTCAAGCTTGCCAGCCTACAAGTAGGGCTGCAGGACTTTTTTTGACTGGCTGCTAGAAGCCCCCGTTGCCCTCAACTCCAGGGCTTGGATGTAGAGCAACTACTGTATGCCTCACCGAGCTGTCCACCAGGGACGAAACGGGCAAGAAAAGCCCCGTGGCACCACGGGACTACGTGATCCGAGTCCTCCTCCGACACTAACTACACGACAAATGGTCAGCCCTGGACAAGTTGACTCAGTATCCGCCGTCGGGAATGATTTTCAGAAACGGGATTGAGGAATCACGGCTTGTTGCTCACTCTCCTTCCCGGCATAGTCGTGGCAGATGTAACGTCAGCCCTCACGATCTTTGGCAGCCAAGCCCGAGGTTGGCGTCGGCTCGACGGCGATGACAGCCACAGCTCTGTGATTTCAGACCCCTGACGAGGCCTTCGGTTGCCCGCACTCGTCTGCCTTCTTGGAGGCCGAGGAAGGTTTGTGTAGTGTTAATGTTGGGGCTGCGATAAGGGGTGGGTTTCCTGGCGCTGAGCACTGATACTGTATCACCCAGCAGCGAATGAGCCCAGAAGTGGTTCGAAGAGCCGTTCCAGGAGCTCTGAACTTTGCAGAATTGAGCGGCGATATCACAAAACGCGGAGCATGTCATCGGAGAGCTCAGGTGGAATGTAGTTGGGTCCTCGCATCACCGAGTGACATCTGCACTAGAAGCTCTACAAGAATCTGCACTGGTAGTTGCAGCCTGCAGGTACACGCATTCAGGGCATAACAACTATCACTACGAATTGTTTTAGTACTGATGCAAACATGAAGCAAGATCTTATGTCTCAAGCAACATCCAGCATGTGAATTTTCACAGCCTCCGAATCCTCAGCCTGCACCCACTTGTGTCCTGCTGCTTCTCCCTGCACGCGCTGTCTGTGTGGCCAATGTTTGGTTGTGATGCCCTCAGCGACAGCCTTTCCAGGACTACGCCATGACAGAAACAGCCTTGCATCTCTTCTGCTGATCGGAGCTACAATAGGGAAGCAACATTCAGTCCCTCAGCCCTGCATGAGATGACATTGCGGTCTGCTGCGACGAGCAACGTTGAGCTATGATGCGCGTTGTGTTCTGTAACAGTGTTAGTCTTGTGCAAGCTGCGGCCTTCTGCCTCCATGCGGCCAGCTGCTCCTGGCAGGCAAAGAGTCCGTCTCAGTCTGCGGTAGATTCAGGTTCAGTACCGTGTGGACTTTCGGAACCTATGGTAGCAGGTGTTCACGAAGCTCGAGAACAATCCCTGCATTGAATGCCCTTCTTCAATCCCTAAACCCAAACCCGACAGCCCAATGACCCGCATCCTGACAGATGGTTCGTCTCCCGCCTGATCCTCAGCAAAGCTGCGCGGAACCATGCAAACCTTTGCATACTGGCATGCTTGTGTCGTTCGCTCATTTTTCTGCAGAGATCGAGGCTCTACACGAAGTCTTCTGCTAAGAATTCGAGCCCCGACAAAGATGTTTGTGTGTCCATGATTGTCTATCTGCGGTGGCTTCGTGAGTTGACTCAGGAGTACGAGCGGTACATGTGATTGGGCATTACCGCCATATCAAATGCAAATGTAGATGCAAGAAGTTGACAAACATGACTTAGACTGAGATTGTCGACATACGTGACGCTGCACAACCCTTCCATTTTGCCGCTGTGGTCGTCAATCGTTGGCTTGTTCTGTCCCTCTGCCTGAAGTCATGTGACCGGAACGGCCATGCGCAGCAGCTCGGGTGCTGTCGGCGGAGCAGCTTCCTGTCCTGCACTGCCAGGAAACATACACTTATTGCGACAAGACTGATGGCAAGGATACTGAAGATGTAATGAGAATGGTGGAGGTGACGACGGCGGCGAAGCTGAGGATGATGAACGAGATGATGGCCACGGACTGGATGAAGTATCAATCACAACATCAGTCTGTAATTATCTAGTGATTATTATATACTGTTCCAGGTATGTTCCATTGCCTCACACCCTATCCTTACTTAAACTTGATACAGAAACTGTATCGCCTCATGTTTTGGAAGCAGTCCGACGGACTGCGTATCTCGGCCCGAGGATCTTCTGTGAGAGAGTATAAGTACTTTCCTAGCACGATCTTCCATTTCCACCCAATTGGCGTTGTGCCGCTGTGCATGTGACTGGCATTGCGAATGATGTTCAAACTCCGATTCATGTCATGATGCTGTTAACGATGAGTGCTGATTCAACTGGGTGTAGCTGACTCCGAACACGTGCTTATTTTATCGAGGTTTTCATGCCTGAGAAACTGAGGATCTGGGGCAGGCCAGAAAATGATCTCAGGCCACAGGTGGGCCTGGGGCCGATCGCGTACGTACCTTCCCAGAATCTTCCCCAACAAAAATACGAAAAGCAACCAAGCAACTCACCTGAGACACGGGACACTGAAGCCCTGCACAAATCAAGGTCCAAGGCAGGAAGGGAGGGAGGGAGGGAGGGAGGGAGGGGAGGGAGGGGAGGGCCAGTGGGATGCCTTCACCTTCCAGACCCGGAGCCGGTTCGCTCCCATGGAGCAGTCGGGCATCCCACCTGCCGAGGACACAAGCGGTGTATGGGGAAATCGAAAGTATCCAAGCTTTGGTTCAAGGATGCGGGGCTCCTCGGGCGGTTGGTGGGTCTCAGGATGTAGGGCACATTTCGGACACTGCGGTCGGGTTCAGCGTACGGGTCTTCAGGCGCATCCTCATTCAATGTGTGGTACATGTTCCACTTGCAATCATCAAGGCAATGATAACGGTACTCGTAAAAAAGAGATGCTCCCGCGATGATCCCTAAGCCTACTAAAGCCTTGACGCCAAAGCATGAAGCAAAAAAGCTGCATCCAAGTCGCAGGAGCAGGTCCCCGGGCTGCAGTGACACGCCCAAGGCGCCGGTGCCCAAGGCGGCACCGTCGGGCACCGCCAAGAAGTCGCCTGGGTAGGAAGAGAATTGGCAGTGCAGGGCTCAAGGGCTCTGGCCTCTGGTCTTAGGATCAGACGGCTCGTGATCATCAACAATCGATCATCTTGTTGTTCAGTGTTGCGCATAACCAATGTGTCTCGGACTTAGTTCGAGTCGATTGCTTGAATGAGAGTAGACAAGCAGCGGATGCATCTACACTTGAACTGACCACAACTACTCTGAGTATAATCTGTGTTCCAACCTGAGATACCGTGGCATGGTCGTGCAAAGTTTGGTCGGAATACAGACAAGCCACGCCATATATACTAGTTATCTAAGGTTATCTAGTTGTCATCAAATCTTTCGTCCGTTCGTACCGGCTTCCGCTTCACCGACATCTTGGATTCGTGCTTGTACGGGCGCTTGACCCTCTGCATATGGATTTGGTAAGAACAACACGAAGCTCAACACCGGCAAGTGTTGAATTGTTTGGTAGTATGATGCCTGCGTGCCCAGGCAAACCACATCTCTTGCTGAAACCACATTGGAATTCGCAATTCTGTTGCCGCCAAACTTAGGCGTACTGTGCTGGCCCCTTGACGTGGCTTCAACGTATCCTCCGCCGTTCACTTTGCCACGATACTATGGTGCAACATGTTCATTGAAAGCTTAAGTGGCTTAGGCTTGGTTGACATTACTCGTACATGCAAGTATCCGGTTGGATTCGTTTGCTGCCACACAGCAGTGCTTAGCAATAGATGGTTGAAGCAGTTCTTGCTGACCAAATCAGTGCGATAAACAATGTAATTCAGCACTGCCATCACTGCCTTCAAAAAACACCCTGACTGCATTCAGAAAAACAACATCAGCACCAGCACATGCAGGCACTGCCATTATTTGCATAAGCACACCCTGTGCGATGCATCAGCAGGACATGCAAATGCATGATGTGTTACAGTCCTGCTTGTGTCTCTGTCAGTATGTATCTATGCAGACACATGCATATCCAAAAGGAGACATGTACCTGCACATGTACGTGTAATCACGACCTACGTATACGTGCACAACCATATGTAGGTTCGATACATGCAGACTCGCGCATACATAAACGCGTGAACACGTACATACGTATAGACATGCTCACACATGTGAGCACCTGCGTAAAAAGGCAAACACAGGCGTAAACACATACGCAAATGTGCATGCACACAACATACATACACGCATAAACGCACATGTACATGGGTACGTAGATGATGCATAGATAGCGGTAGATCGATAGATAGGTGGGAGGGTAAGAAGGTAGGCAGATAGGTAGATAGCTAGATAGATAGTTAGAGAGAAAGACTGAAACAGAGAGATAGATGCGCACGTGACTCGCTGGCACACAGAAATACAAACTCTTGGAACTAGCCCGAAAACATAATGTGGCAGCAGCAGTAGCAACTGTAGCAGTAGCAGTAGCAGTAGCAGTAGCAGTAGCCGCAGCAGTAGTAGCGGTAGTGGTAGTGGTAGTGGTAGTGACTGGAAGTGCTAGTGGTAGTAGTAGTAGTAGTAGTAGTAGTAGTAGTAGTAGGAGTAGCAGTAGCAGTAGCAGTAGCAGTAGTAACAGGAGCAAACCATGCAACTGACCTGAGATCGGGGAAAACTTAGCCCCAGCCTCGCTTGCGGAGCCGTGGGCCGCCTAGCAGGTCACCTGGTGTCCGATCTGGGTTCCGGGTTCATGCAGGGATGTTCTTCGGATGTCGGAGGGTTTGATAGTGTAGGGGGCTCAAACTGTCTGGTTTGTGTGCTTTTTGCGGGATTCGATTGGAGGATCGTGCTTCCGGCTCGGAGTGGGAGTCCAGCTCCGATTTTTTGTGTAGAGGCTTACCGAACCGCAGCCGTCAACACATTGGCTCCTCTATGTCCATATGCAACCGAAAGCTGC